GATATATATATACACAATTATATATATAAAAATATATAATTGCTTGTCAAGCTGGAAGAAGCTACTAATACTACAAAGTAGAAATTTAATTGAGGGGAAAAACAAAACAAAAACAAACAAACAAACAAAAAAACAGAAACCAAAACCCCAAAAAAACATAACCAAAAAACAACACCCAAAAAACTCCAAAGAATAACCAACAAAACACCAAAAATGCAAAACATTCAAAATTACCTTGCAAGGACTAAACTAGGGCCAAGGCAGAATCAATTCCACTGTCTTTGGTCCAAATAAAAATCCAATGCCTTTGGGCCAAAAATCATCATCATTTTGGCCCCATTAAAAAAAAAAAAAACCAAAAAAAAAAACCAAAACAAATAGATAGAAGCACATAGAGGTTGTTCAAGAAGCACCTTAATGTTGGCTTTATGCCAAACTCAACAATACCAGAAGGAGATGCAAAACTTCCCAGCAAGAAGAGCACTAACTAACTTGAAGCAACTTCCTTTGTTCTGTTGCAGCTGAATTCCCTTTCTGCAGCACTCATGTATTTAACTCTCAGGTCCAGTGCTAAACAGACCTAGCCTCAGTTACACTGAGCCTAAAGACCCCAAATACTTCTGACTGGTGGAGTCTCTCAATAGCAAAAATGCTCTGCTCCGCTTTAACAGCTATGAATAGGCTCTGTGTCATGTAACTACTGCTTCAGCAGCAGACTGCAGGGTGCTGTGGTGTAAGCTGATAGGAGGAAAAGAAAAACACATGATATATCAGAGACATAAAAACACTCCACAAATTAGTAAGTGTAATCTGGATAGGTATGCTCCCAATATTCAACATAAACAGTTGTTACTAATGTGGTTCCTCCCTGCTTACATTTTGTGAGCGCTAATATGCATCAGCAGTCTCTATGGGGAATCCAATATCCCCTAATAAAAACTACAAGACTCTTGACTAGCAGATTTTTAAGACTCAGCAGAATCAAGGCCTCTGCAGTCACACTAGCAGTTTTCCCACAGCAACTGAATTGGATGACTGACATACAGGTAGCTGCAACAGACTTCATCAGCTTTCTACTGTGGTTTTTCTGTGTTGAGATTTTGGGGGATTTTTCATGCTGTGAGGAACAAGAAAAGGTGTGCAAATTTATAGACTAGTACCAATCACCCAAGAAAATTTGCTTTAAATTGCTTACACTGAAAACTGTCCTTGAAGGCTTTCATATGCCGGAGTATGAATACACTGAGAAATCCTATTCCCTTCCCCTCATCTTCCACCATGCCTCCCTCCTCCCCAAGCTAGCAATGCCTGCTACAGGCCTTGTTCCTAGATGTGAAAGCCTGAAGAGCAACGGGACTAACGTGTTTGTTGGAGAATGTTTGACATTTGCTGTAATGTAGGTACTCTGTTGGGAGACAGTAGCTGATTTCTGCAGGTACAAGGTTCAAGGTACTAACCTTCTGACAAGTGTTTTTTTAAGTGCTCATTACATAAGCACTGATAGAGAAAATCGAGTTACCTTGGAGCAACCGGCGGTACAGCAAAGGGTCACTGTTTGACCGTTTCACCGAAGGATTGAAGGCTCTTCCGCTGCTGGCTCTGTCTGCAGCCACCATGCTTGCGTTTGAAGGGGAACGGCTCACTCTGCTGGAAGACTCAGGAATTTCTTCACCTAAGTAACCGGGAACCATAAAGATGAAAGAAAATAATTTAGAATAAAGCAGATCTCTAAAAGCCATTATTAGAAATTATTACTGATTTTTTTTTTTGTATCTCCTCCATAAATCTGTAATGATTTGACACAAAAAGTTTAAAGGTGCATGTATGTGCACAGGTACCCACACTTGCCAGTAGCACTGGTCTAAAGCCTGCTTAAACCTTGCAGAACCCTGTCCAGCCTTATGCAGCTTCAATAGCAAAAAAATACAGCTTTGCCTAGTATCAACCTCATCTTAAACTATCTGATCAGAGAGAAAGGGAGCTATAGCTTGCTTGGAGAGAAAATCGAATCCCGAATCCTCCCGCAGATCAGCTGTCATACCAAGATGGCAGCATACAGTCAGAGATCAGTTACCGTAGCTCAGAGATCAGTCACCAATTCCTACAAGGGAATTAAAAATCCTATTTCATGAGACTCTTTATTAAAATATTTTCCTGAATTCTTGTGATTTGTTTCATCTTTCCAGTTAATCAACATTCCTCCTTTTCGTTAGGGTGTAGTTATGTGCTGCAATTTCTACAGCTGCCTTTTAGTGAAATAGGACAGGATGAAGATTCACATTTCTCACCAAGCCTGTTTCTGTACCTCCATGTGATAGCACCTGGCATATTACAGAAAACAATGTTCTTGCTCACACAAGACCAAAAAACAAAATTAATGTAAACAGTCTTCAGAACATGGCAAATGTTTGTGCTGCTACTGTAATGGAAATGTTACAGAGCATTTGAGAAAATTAAGGCTTGGATGACATGTATTTGTTAAGCATAGCACCTTATCTCCTACTCAAATGCAACCTAGAATCTTTAAAGAGAACAGTGACACAACCTATACAAAGCAGATACCAAGCTGGAAAGTCAGGAGGTAGGATGCAGCAACAAAGTATGGCAAATCAAGAATCAGTCAGGATTAAAGAATCCAGCATCAGTATAAAATTCTAACACCAGTGGAGCTGTGCCAGCAGTCAGTTTTGAGGTGCAGTGCTGCTGGTACTCTGAAGAAGTTGGAGTTTCATAACTACTAAACAGACGAATGAATCAATTTCATGATCTTCTGATAATTCTTCATTAATATTAATGTTTCAGACATCAGAGAGATAACTGGCTTAAGCTGATGTGTACTGGAAATGCACATACCTAGTACGTGGTGATACAGAGCAGCTGCCAATCATAACAAGCTATCAGTAGAACATTGCGTGTCTTCCTACTACAGTCAGCAGGGAAAGTCCCATTTTGCTTTACAGGAGTGCTTTTGAAGTCAGCAAAAGCATTTTAGCTGGCACAGAGAAGCTTACATCTCCTCCTGCAGCCGGCAGGCAGGACTCCCCGAGTTCTGCCGGCAGTCAGTAGTGCATAGTTTTAACTTCCGTTGGGAGCTACACTTAGTCAGTCCTGATGATGTCAAGGGGATCATGGCACCATACACAAATGCCCTGGCATGACAGACTAACAGCATAAACTGAAAGTTCAGCTTTTATTTATAGACTGTTACTCTACATCAGCTGAGGCAGCCCAGGGAGTTACTCTGACTCAACTCCAACACATCCCCTCATTTTGAATTTCCCTCCTGCTGTGGTTTAACCCCAGTAGGTGGCTCATCCTCACACAGCTGCTCACTCACTCCCCCTCCAGTGGGATGGGAGGAGAATTGGAAGAGCAAAAGTGGGAGAACTCGTGAGTAGAGATAAAGAGAGTCTGGGGGAGTCTAGAGGGCAGACACCAAACCAACAACAACAAAACAAACCAAAGAAAAAACAAGTGGTGCATAAGCAGTAGCAGGTCACCAGCTGACTGATGGCCAGTGAGTCCCTGAGCAATGGTAACCTGGAAAACTGCTAAGTGGCATGGGTCATCCTTTTGCTCAGTTCGGCTCTGCTGTCCCAGCTGTGTCCCCTCGCAGTGTCTTGTCCAGCGCCAGCCTGCACACTGCAGGGGTGAGGGGGCAGAGTAAGAGATGGAGCAAGCCTCGATGCTGCGCAAGTACTGCTTAGCAACAGCTAAAACACTGGTGTGTTATGAACGCCATTTTGGTCACAAATCCAAAATAGCACCATATGGGCTGCTATGAAGAAAATGCCTCCATCTCAGCAAGGCCCAGTACACCTCCCCAAATACAAATAAAGGACAAGATACTGCTCAGCATATTTCCTTTTCTTAAATTCATTGCTCATAGGAATCCTTGGCATCTAGAAGATGCAGTGTTAATATTCTTTATTCGAAGTACAGGCCTTTTAATTTGGAGGGGAAAAAAAAGATAGAGAAAGAAAGAGATGGAGAGGAGAGTATAACTTGTCACATGTGCTCAGATCTGCTCACTTGCAAAGGAAGTTTTTAAATACAAGAATACCTCAAACAATACCTCAGCAGAAGTTTGGTGGTGGTGTTTGTTTCGTGTTTTCATTTTTGTTTTGGGTTTGTTTTGGGTGTTTGAGGTTTTTTCCCCCCCGCCTTTCCTTCACTTCTTGCATTTTCAACAGTATTCTTTTCCTGTTTTCTACTCTCATAACTTTAAGCAGTCATCATGCAGCCTTCATATCCAATTTTAGTTTGTGCTCAAAGTACTCAGAGATAGCAACAGCAGTTTTGTCAATGATCCTTGAGAATTAAACTTTTTGCTACAACTCTTGTGAATTTCTTCCTGGTTATCACAACTGGTGAGATACCAGAAGCATTCAAGTGCTTGTTTTCAGAAGCCTCAGGTAGACCGACAGACTGTAATGGAACTTAGAAAGACTTGTTATTTGTTTAAAATACTATTTAGTAAATTTTTTTTCTGCCACCACTTGGCAGAGACAATTTCAACTGATGAACTTCAAACCAAGGTTTTCCTATAGCTTGAGAAGTAGGTTGGCAGAAGAGAAGCTACAGCCAAATAAAAGATTTGGGGAATTCCCTGCCCACCCCAACTGTGTTTACTCTCTATATTCTCTTGCTGTGAACACTGTGCAGACAGGCAGGCACACAGCCATCTGTTGCACAAAATGCATTCTGCCTCATAATGAACAGGTTTTCACTAGGGCTGTACTGAAAAAGCTGCCTGTGACTTACCTGGGAGCCAATAATGTTTAGCTGCAAACATACATCACAACAGAGATCAGGCTGACAACAACTTGGAACCATTTCCATCAATTTCTAAATCAATACTGAGCAAAGCTGGACATGGTATCTACACATAGTCTAGCTAATGTCCTGTATAAGTATGCATGAACTATTTACTAATTCTTCTGGTGCAAGCTGAATAGTAGAGTAATTCCCACATTTAGCTCAACACAGTCCAGCATTATTTTATCCTTTTCCTGTTTTCATCAGCAACAAAATGACAATAGACACAATCATGTACCCAAAAGAAACCGAAACACTGGAGCTGAACATAATTTCTTACAACATATGGACTTAATGAGTCAACAGCTATCTTGTAGATTATTAAGAAGGAAATATATCTTTCTTCTTGTATCTTAAAAACAAACAACTTTTTATGTATTTTAAACATTAATTGCTGCCCTGCTGCCCAAAACAATCATGATTCTGTATCTCTGGCTTGCAATATTGTAGCTGTCTTTCAAAGAAATAGTAATGCTGCTGCTAGGTTAAGTCACCTGGGTTGGGTAGAACTGTCCTAGAACAAATTCTAAAAGGCGGTTTTTACCTTGAGAGGCCTCCCTGTCACTCGCTTCCTCCAGATCAGCAATAACTTCCACGACATGTATTTGGAGTGCACTTTCCTGGAGTAAAATAGAAAAGTTCGAAAACCACAAGCCACCATCTTTTTTCTGGTACTTCCTAAGAACTGCAACATTTGCCTTAGACAGTGAAGGCTTCTGCTTAACTGCACAGTGACTATGTGATACATGTTTAATCCCACTCCAAAACCAAGAATAGTGAGTGTCTAAAATTAGTGTTCATCATCCATGTCAGCCAATTCTATCCTGCTATTTTCTGCGAAAAAGTGCCTGTCTTCTGAAAATACCAGTGAAAAGGGATCAGTGAGCATGGCAAAACCTTGACCTAGTCCCACATGGGAGGGGAAGTAAAGCAAGGAGGCAGCACAAGGGTCCTCTAGAATAACCAGCAATGGATGTGCTCAACAGCACATTCTGCTGTTTTTCCCATGCTTGGACAGAGTTTTCCAGCTGGGGAACTTCTGCACTCTAAAAGTGATTTACTAAAATCTTCAGTGAAATTTAAAAGCCACATTTGTAACCACACGTGTCCTCCTGCTATTCTGAAATGTAAAGATACCTGACTTACATTTACTATGCTTCAGTGCAACTTCACCTCTGTAGTGAGAACAGAAGCTACACTTCAAACCCCTGTGAGCCATACCTGCTCAGAGCTGTTCTCACTCCACACAGCTTCATAAGGAGGAGGTGGCTCCAGAGGACAGAACACTTCAATGCCCTTGATTCGTGCTCCATAAATATGGGGCAATGGAATCACATCAGAGCCAAGCATCCTGCAACAAACACCACGAAGAGACTCCATCAGTAGGGCCAAAAAAAGTCACCTGCTACCAAATTTCGCTGGCTTTCCTATGCCAGCTCAGATTTTGGGATCTTTCCAATGTGTTCATAAGAGCTTCAAACATCTTTGGGCAGTACTGCATCCAGGAACCCATTACAGTTTTACTTCACAGAGACTCAGTTTTGTTTCAAGAGATTCAAATACAGGTGGTTATTCAAAATGCAACAACCTGCTCTAATTTTCGTGAGCTACTGAATTCTTAATTATACCTGAAATTCAAGAGACTTCTAATCTCATGTTTTATGTTCAGATACAGCTGTGTAGAAAAAGGCAAACTCAAACTAAAGGCTCTTTTTGTGATGATGGTCAACTAAGAACATTATAGTTAATCAATTCACAAAGGCTTGTGTGAGCTAAATGTACCTCATGGTTAACTTTATTTCTTATTTTTCAAAGAGCTCTACAAAACCTTAAATGCAGCAGAAATCCTGAAGACCTTTTGCTTTAACATCTTGCTCTTAGGAGGTACCTCTGAGAATGAAGAAATCAGAACAGTGCCTGGAGAAACTCTTTGGCAAATGCCAATTTTGATAGCATGATTTTACCTTACACCATTAACACTGGAACAAAGTGTGGTGGTTGACAGCAGAGCTGCCAAGGGAACCTTCCTCACACAATCTTCAGAGAAGTCTGTGACCCAAAGCATCTCAATTCTTCTCTGCTTTTTATTCTTTTTTAAATTGGTGATTTGGTACTGAGAAGGAACCTCAAGCAAGACAGAGAAGTCCCCATTTTGCCCTCTGGACCTGTGTCAGACTTGCACCTATCACTAGTGGATGCAATCTCTCTACAAAGAAATGTTACACAAGAGCAAGTCCTTCCTCCCAGAGTTTAGGACTTCTCAGGACACTGGCTGGAGGTAAAAGAGATGACTATGAAAATGAGTTTCTTGTAAGCTGAGGGAAAAGGGCAAAGTGAACGGAAATGCCTATGTAAGGCTGCTTACAGAAAAAAATGGATAAAGCTTTCAAGAAAGAACTGGGAGCACTTTTGTAAAGAGTCCTGGCAAAATGATGAGAGTAATGCATGGAGAAATTTGAGGAAAAGAAAGAAAATATTTTCATAAGTAATGATTGCTTTTTTAATCTTAAAAATGGGTGGGGAATACAACACGCTACAATAGTTTTTAATTTCAGTCTATTTCATCTGTCCCTTAAAGCTTCAGAATAATTTTGGAGTACAATGGAGATTGATGCTCTGTTGGCACTACGTCTTCACATTTTTCTAATACATTCATGCTGAGCTTACATTCCATGTAGGCCACAAATATCATATACTTCTTAAAATCTAGTTTTGTTTTTAAACATGTCTGATCTGGCCTACCCGGCTCAGTCACACCTTGAAAATTAATCTTGCATCTAAGAATTATATCATCTTAAAACTTATTATAGAACATGCAACTAGAAAAGCATTCCCTTAAGTCTTGTAACATAAAAGTAATTTCCAGGATGCGCACATTTGTCAGTCTGTTCTTTAGTTCTTAATTTCCACTCTCCCTTTTTTTGCAAGAAAGTCAATTCTTGTGTAAAGCCTGCAGCTTTTTGAAGTGATGATACAGAAATGTAGGGAACAGTCTACTGCCCAGAGACTGCTCCAGACCACACGGAGGCTCTGTACCACTGCTGGTAAGCAAGACACTGGAGGGGGAAGGCACATCCTTGGTGACCTCTTGCACACCTTGTGCTCTCATGCCTCAGCTGAACAATAGCATCAGGGTTTTGTCCTCCCAAAGTCTTTAGTGTTGCAATAGCAGAAATATATTCAGTGGTTAAGAAACAACTGTCAGCAGCATATGGGTCCAATTTGAGACACATACTGAATTTGAGAATACACAACTTGGATAAACAGATTTGCATTTTAGCAAACACCTCTAGTCCCAAACAGGACTTCACTGTGGACTGGAGTAGATTTCTAGACCCCAGGTGATTGGTTTGCTCCCCAGCATGGATCACCTCTTCCCTTAAACTCACATGCCTTACAACATTTTGTATTTTATTCTTCACATGGGAAGTCAACAGTAACTCTTAATGTTGTGCCAGTCCTGATAAATAACTTCATTGCTACTTCCTTATTTACGAATTAACAAGATAGAGGCAGAAGCTGACCAGACATTTGTAAAGCTGGTTTGTTTTGCCTATCACTAAATAAAACAAATACAGAAGTTTTCCCACAAAAAAATGAACACACCAATTAATTTGCTTTGTTCACAGCACCTCTGGATCTCTGATTTAAAGGGTGGACAACTGCTACCTGTTCCAAATATGTCCTTGGCACATGTTTTGGTCACTGCAGTGTTCCCTTTCTCAAAGGGATGCATCTGGTTTGGAGTCACCCCTGGTGCAGCTTGCAGATGGTGGTTCACCACCCTGGATGCAGTTCCTTTCACCCTTCTTTCCCACAAAGGTTTTGGATGTGGGGTCCATGGGACCTCAGCACTAAAAGTGAGGTCATGAGCGAAGCACAGTGCTCAGGGTAGAGTCTGGGAGGGGAGGGGGAAGTGCAAGATGAGGAGGCTGACTGAGGGAAGGCCAGGTCCAATCCCATCCACGCTGCTGGATCCAGACTGGGGTGATTCATATTTCCTCATCTGCCGAGAGCAAGTCTTGTCTGTTGCTTTCACTTCTGCGCTGCTGCGTAACTACCCTGAGCACCTTGAAACAGGTAGCCTGACTTCAGAAAGAAGTCACCATCACTCACTCCTTATTACCAACTAGTTTTAGCGCAGTCACAAGCAAGGTAGCTATCCAATATTAGACCACAGAAGCCTTAAATACTGTTCAGCAGCCCTTACTGTGCTGAAAATAGACAAAGAGAAATGGTGCTGCTGGGAAGGAGATAACCATCTAGAATGACGTGCCAGACAAAGAATGACGGCCCCATTTTAGAGCAGGGGAACTGTGACAAACATATTTCAATAAATATCTAATCTTCCAAGGGATCATTACACACACACCATTCTGTTCTCATAACCAGCTTCAACCAAGACTCACATTGTAGGTTTTCAGTAATGCCTGGAAATCAACCCCAGTCTTTGGTGTTTTACATGATTTAGATGATTCCTGTGAAATGTTACATTTTCTAGGTAATTCCAGGATCCGCAATTACCTCTACAAGCGCCACAGACTCTTCAAAGTCATGCATACCACTCCTGATGAAACAGTGAAACAAACTAAACAGTCCTGCACACTGCAAAAAGCAGGATTTTTAAAGAAGAGTACAGCGATATAGTCTGCTTGAGTGTCATGACATTCTATGTATAAACACTGTGTGTTCACAACAGAATAATGCAACCTCACCTGAATCATAAACTAATAAACAAAGCTAACCTGTAAGTTACTGGGAAGAGTGTAAACCCACCTGTAGAATGAACAATAACAAAACCCAAAAGTCATCACCCCCACCAAATTTACATTTTAATTTTTGATCAGACTAACTATACTGAAGAAGGCATGCTTCTGCAACATAAAGATTTTCTGCATGTTTTCTTACAAGAAAATTCATACAGCTGTTATTTTAACCTCCTCCAAATACTTATTATCTTCAGTAATGAACTGAATTAAAAAAAGGGGAGGAGGGATGTAGCAGACAAGTAGAGATCACCATGATTTGTGACTAGCCTTTACAATATGTGAACTCATCCTCCTCATGCACTCTCACTCCTCCTCCATTCCACAGCTGCCACTGTGGAGGAGCCCTGCAATAACACCAGGTGCAAACCCTGCCTGACAGCTCAAAGCTGAGAACCGAGATAAGGGTAGTGATTACTCGCCCTGGCAGTACCATCAAAACATACCCTTCAGTCAGCCCTAATTGCAAAGAGTGAGAAGGAGAATCACTGTGGCAGGAAGATCTGTGGGGGTCAGGCTGCCATTCAGGGGTCTCTCACACGAGAGTTGCCAAAAGATTGCTCATGGCTTTCTATCTCTGCCCTGACAGCATCATGAAAGTTTTCAACCGTGTCAAATCATGGTATTTCTCTTACCCAGGAACAGTTCCTACAGAATCTAAAGTGAAAACCACAAAATTATGCCCTTCAACAACACTGTATTTATACTGCCTCTTAAAAGGTTTTTAATTCCCCCTGTCCACAAAGTCACCAACCTTTTCCAGTGAGTAACAGAGAAAATGGTCTTTAAAAAAATAAAGAAAAAGAAAAGAAATAAGATCATGCAATGTTTCCAAAGACACTAAAAGAAAGGAAGAGAGGTTTACCTGCAAGTCACTCGTGGAGTATAAGAATTAAAAGTTGAAAAATAGGAGGGAGGTGGCACAGGTGGGACAAAATCATCAGGATCCAAATCATGATCTTGGTCTTCAACCTGAGATTCATCCTAATCAAATGAAACTTCTGTTAAAAACCTTCCAAGACACAAAAAATTGCTGAACTGTGTAATTTAGTAATGCTGTTAGCACTGCTGTTTATAGCAGACAACACCTTGTCCATACTTACTGTGCAGGATCTTGCTGCAAAATTCTGTAAGTAACGCAGGGTAGCCACTACTAAGCAAACTGTAGTGGTGATAGCATTCAGGGCACAAAGAGCAAAGAGAAATTTCTGAAGAACATGAAGATTATGGATATTAAAAGATTAAATCAAGATATTTGTAAAAGTACTAATTATAATAAGCCAAAACAAAAACAAGCTGAGAAAACACAAAGGTAATTAATGACAATTACTTCTTAGGAACATCTGTGATGAAGTCTTCAGAACAGGTAATTTCCAAGACTGGAGTAATTTGCAAAAGCTTGTTTTGTCCTATTGTGTATCTCAACAGAGACATCCAGAAGGGTTTAATGTCACTCAGATGTGATTTATAGTCCATCTATTAATCCAAGAATGACAGCCTTCCTCTTAACCTTTCTGTGGGAAATTCAGTTGTGAGATAATCACCACTAACGAAACGTCAAAGCGCTTTTATTTTTAAGATGGTGTTGTTTGGAAGTTGTTTTTTAACAGTGTGTAAGCCAAGAAAGGCTGAGATGGTCAAAAGACCAGTGAAGGCATCAAATTTACACCATATTTACTCATGCAATCTTGTCTGAATTCAGCTGTAGTTTTGGTTGCATAAAACACAGAGAGGACAAGAATTGCTTATTGGATTAGCAATGCACTGGTCAAAACCCAGAGATGAGGAAAAGAACCTGTTGCAGGCTAAAGAGCTTCTGACCAGTGTGGAAGACCAGAAAAAAAAACAGAATTTTTCACAGTAAACACTGCAGTCACCTCAGCACTGCACTGTCACACAAGTGTAGATATTATCACAGCAGTCATGTTAAACAGTGTCTGTTGGGTACCTTGAGAAGAAGGTGAGAAGCACTGCATGACTTCAGGTAGTATAGCTTCAGCACAGCTTCTTCTTCTGTGCATTCAGTGAGATGAAATTCTTCACAGCAGAAACAAACCTTGTTTTCATCCATATCCACCTTCGAAAACACAAAACTCCACTTTTTAATTTATAATCTGATTTATACAACATTTTTACCTGTACGATATAGCACCCATGTGTTTAACTATACCTCTGACTGCAAAGCAGACTGGGAATACAAGCTTGTAAAACTTCCATATGTCATAATTCACACATAATAAAGCTATATTATGCACACTTCTTATTTGAAAAGAAGCATTACTGACAAGCTCAAGACATATAAATACAACTCAATCAAGCTGCACTGCTTACTAAGCAATTTTAGTATCCATGCTCCTTCAAACACATAGCAGTTTCAAAATTCTTTCTTTGACTGACATCTAAACCACTGTATAGGGAGTGATTCACAAGTGTATTTTGCATCTCCGCAGATGGAATGAAACCTACCACTATAATTTCAACCCAGGCAAATCATTAATAGTTCTATGCGTACATCACTATTATTCGTAACTTTCAAATTAATATTGTCATCTTAGTTTTCAAGCAGAAATTTAATGTTTCTGTATCTAGATATAACTAGGTCCACTGTCAAAACTGTCAAACTCTGGAGAATTATAGTGTCAGAGGTCTTACACCTGCATAAACCACTGTACAGAATAATTCATGATTTCAGGAATGC